TATAAGCTATTTTTATTTTCATCAAAGTGCATAGCAAAGTCATCACAGCAAGTCGCTAAGGGTTCTGGAGTTTTCATCGGGCAAAACAGATTGCAGGAGACCCTGAACCACTCAAAATAGTTCAGCAGGACAGCACTGTGAGGAAGCAATACAGGTGACAAATACTGTCATTTTGCCAGCTTTATTGCCATGGAATAGACTCAGTAGTGAGCTCCAAGTCATGACTGGTCAGAGTCATTGTGAGATTTCCTCCACTTCACTGTAGCCATTTCACTTCTTGCTTCATTACCCTAAACTCTGGTGAATGAGAGGTTGCTCAGGTGAGAGCATGTCAGCTGGCTCTTCTCCATGGGATTACTGGGACTTCAACAGGAGCATCTACTATCCCCTTGACCTGTTGAAAAGACCAGGTCGAGAGTGTGACCTTCATGTGTTGAGATGATGGCAAGCTGAGATAGCCCCACAGTTGTCAGCCATGAAGTCCTGAGCCACCCCAGATAAGGCATTCTCAGCATGAACATTAAAGTCCCCCAGAACTAGCATTCTAGGGGTCTTCACATCAGGTCTGAGAGTACCTCCATTAGCTCAGGTAGGGAAACAGCTGGACAACAGGGTGGACAATATACCAGCATGATCCCCAGTTTGTCTCAACACACAGTACAAACTCTCAAGACCAGTCCGAAGGAGACAGGAAGCCTGGAGAGCAATAATGCTTTCTTATAAATCAAGACCTCTCCCCATCCCCAGCCCGCTGGGCAACACTGGTGCTGTATCAAGTACCCAGGTGGGTATAGCTGAGAAAGAAGAATCTCTCCAGCCTCTCCCACCCAGTCTGGCACCCTTAATCAAATAATGGATGAGGGGGTCTTGTTTTAGACCAACCTAGAGTCCAATAATAGCACTGCTATATCCAGGGCTGGTTGAAATGGTTACTTGTTACTATTTGGTTGAGGGAAGAACTAGAAGAGGGAACAGATGCTAGGTATCTGATCTCTCATCTCCATCATGGGTGTGTTAAGCCCCTACTGCCATATTTTCCTCTATTCATCACCACCCCAATGGCTGCACCCCTCAGTTCCCCATCACTTTCCAGATCCACAAGGTTCTCCTAAACTTGGCTCACGAACAATAAGAAATTCCTAGGGGTGGGAAGAAAGTAAGGAAGGAAAAGAAAAAGAAAAACAAAGCCTGAATCACTCAGAAAAACAATTATGAACACTGATCCTGTAGAAGGCCCATGGTAACAGAGGCCCTAAATCGAATATGCAGTGAAAACAAAACAAATAGAAAAGGTTTGGAGAAGGAAGGAAAAAGGATGGGGAGAAAGAAAGGGGGAAAAAGAGAACTTAAATTGGCAATGCTCTTTGGCATTGCTCTTCAGCTGCTGCCCAAGGCTGCCATCCTTGCTGTGGGAACAGCAAAGGAGGCGTCCACGGTGGAAGTCCCACCCCCCTGCTCAGCACACTGTTCCTGCATGGGCCACGATGGTCCAGTGTGCCGGCCCAGCATGATGAGGAGGTGCAGGCTGCAATGAGTACTGAGGAATGGTGCTCCACCGGCAAACTCTATGATTTCTGCCCACCCAGGTACAAATAGTGGGCTAGAGTGTTCTTCTTCAAAGGCAGGAGCCACACGTCTTTGCTAAACACATAGTCATATTGGAACAAACATCCAATTTCTTCTCCATAGGTCTTTCTTTAGGACAGGGGAAATGCAGCTTTTACAATTATTTGTAAAAGTGAAAGAAAACACTTTTTTCCACTTTTGTAATATCACTATTCTGCTGCAATGAAGTGACACTTAAAGGTAATGCGGTAGAAAAGCAGGTGAGTAAATAGTTTTGTGTAGTGTTGGATCTCAAATTTGCTATGAACAAAAAGCAGACACAGCTGATTATGTGCTTATGGGAAAAGCATAAAACCAGCGAAGGTTGTGATCATGTGTTTTATAGTGTGTGCTTATTGTAACGTATAGTTTATGCTTAGTGTTACAGTGATGTCATGATTCTTCTGTTCTTTAGTAAGGAAATAGTGTGCCTTGCTATCTGCGTTCTATTATACTACCAAAGTAGCACTTAAATCATTTGCAGAAGGTCCTATTAGTAGCATTCATATTTAAATGATTTTACAAATCAAAGCACTACACTCTAGAGCCTTCTGCTTAAAGCTTTCACGTGACTGTGAAGGTCTGGGAGGTTGTAATCATCTCTTCTGAAGGCACCTAGAGTTGTGGGTGCTTGTGTGACTCCATTTGTCTTCTAGTTTGTGAAATTCATGGTAGTCAAAAGATTCCCTCAATAACAACGAGGGCTAGAAATTCATGAATTGGAAAGAAGTTTGAATGCTGAAGTTTTCAATGGAAAGTTGTTGATATTGTTGGCTCCAGCCTGAGCATCCTGACATTGTTGTTTTTAGTTATGGCCATTCAACACCATACGAATGCTTCAATCAATTTATTATCTCTTCTGCTTTGTTGTCACTGGGACAGAACCTAGTTGCATATACTTGAGGTCGAATTTTAGCAAAAGAGGAGAAAACAATGCTGAGGTGTATTGATGCAGAGGTTTTCCAGTTATTTGAGAACACTGACTTTCCTGACTCTTCTACGGAATCATTTTGGCACCCATGGAGCATGCTGTCTGCAGCTCAAGTGTATTTTCTCATATCGTAATACTGCTATACAATGAAAACCAACATAATTTGTTTTTAAATCAGAGTTCACACAATAAACCCTTGTTTGTGCGTGATTTTCATTCATTGCATCCATTTTCCCCCTGCTTCCTGCATTTTCTCTTTCAGATGTCCCTAACAACCATACTATATCACAGTATGGCACTGCCTGAGTGAATACTTGGAGGTGGATATAAAATTCTATTTCCGTTGGGTCCTGGAAATATTTGAATGATAGATTTGCAGACATCCCCAGGCAAATTGAAATAAGCCTTGAATTGTATCTCAGCAGGGATACTAAGTTATCCTTATTCAGAATAAATGTTCCTCTTTTTATCCTGTATATACAACTAATCCTCCTTGGGGGCAGAAGCTATGGATGCCAGTCAACCCAACTTTAGAAAGGTCTGTGCTGTCAATCTCACACTTAGCTTCTGTCCCAGAGCGGGAGAAGTTGTTATGTGTAAAGTTAACAATTGCACAAAAGATAAGGCGCTTGTCTTCTAGTCTTAAGCGTTGCTTTCTGGAATGAGAGTTGACTGACAGCAAGTTGCTACTAGTATGACACTCAGGTGTCATTTTGTTTTTTAGCCAGGGAAAGAGAGACACGCGGTGATGTCCCCGTCATGTCTGGGTGGTGCACATTTGTCTGCACCTTCCCCTGCATGATGTGGTCTTGGACTGACCCGCTGCTCTCTCTTTCTTTTCTCTCGAGCAGCTTCCATGTAAAGTTGTGCTTTCACTCTGCCATTCGTTCTGGCTCCCCAGTGGTTCTTCCACACAGCATGCAGGCCTTTGTTCCAAAGCAGCTTATACTTGGGGTGAGGTGGGTAATAAATATGCCAGTCTGTGCAAAAGTACTGAGACTGCTCTTGACTTAGGTAAAGTATGTGTTCATATATGTTCATAATATATAACCTATTTTGTAGCAAAATCCTAAAGGTTTTTGCAAGTATTACTACTGCTGCTACTAGTGGATCCTTCTTCTGTCTTCAACATGGTCAAACATTCACTTCATCTCTTATTCTTGAGTAGTAGGTCAATCAGATCATTAGCACTTCTTCAAGTTTGCTGCCAGTTTCTTCATCAGCTCTATTTCTGTAGATATTCTTCAAATATTAATGCCGTCCTCCTGAACACACGCGCACGCGCGCGCGCGCACACACACACACACACACTTACTTAAAGTTCTATCTAGGATGCCTCTAAGGGGTGAACCCTGTTTGCATTGTTTTCCATGGCTCTGTTTCCCATGTCTTTGATCTCTCTGCATTTTTGTTCAGACTGAACCCCAGGTAAACTTTGCCTTCATTTTGAAGCAATCTGTGAAGAAGACTTTCACATGTTTTATGTGCCATTATGACATTATTGTGTGTATGGATACCATCCTTGGCCTCTGCCAGGTACCTTGCCCATCCCTGCATGTTTTCTCAGTTTGTTTACTTTTGTTAGCCTGGTGTTGCATTGGGTAGGATGCCTACCACCAAGCTCTCTGCAATTTAATCATACCCATCTCCATGTGATATTCTCTTTGCTGGTGCTTCAGTCATCCCAAGCAGAAGCTTTTCAATATGCACAAGCTGTATGAGTTGACGATGCAAGAATTGTCATCCCCACATTACGTGCTGTTGCACATTGGGCAGACGCAAACATGTTATCCTTTGCCTTGTCGGAACTGTTCTATGTACTCTTGAATTCATAAAATGTGGTAAAAAAAACTATTTGAGGATACTTTGAAATGCATAGGACTGTGCTCTGAGCTTTCAGAAGCTCCCTGTAGGTTGTAGTGATTTTGATGGCCAAACGGTTGACAGCAACAACAATAAATTACTGAGATATCTAATTATTGTCTGTGTTCCAGTATCTTCTGCTTCATGTGTATATAGACTAAATTATAGAACTATAACCTTTATTTGGTTTATTTCTCTAAATGCTTAATGATGCTTAAAGCTGATGAAGAGTCTTTAGTATCCAATCTAGCTTTCATATTAAGATTTAGATTATTACTTGTCTTTATTCCTTTTCCCCAAAGAATCCTGGGAACTGTGGTCTGCTGTAGGGATGAAGGGTTTTTAATAGAGAGCTTCAGCATCATGAAGCAGCGTTTGCTAGGAATGTTTAGCTGAAGCCACTCTCATTAGATCAATTTAGTCTTGGTTTGTAAAATGCAAGTTTTACAATGAAAGACATTGTCTCAAACAGAATTGTCTGTTTTGTGGTCCAGGGCAAGGGCTATCATCCTGCTCAAATAAATCCTCTTTTTCAGAGAGACTGCTTTGTCACTGTATCAGAGAGTTCATGCCCTTAATAATATTGTAATTTCTTTTTCAGAAATCAAAAATTGCTACCTATGAGAAAATGTGGGCATTTATGAATAGCAGGAGGCAGTCTGTGCTTGTCAAAAGTAATGAAGAAGGCATCCAGCGTGTGCTCACCTCTGATTATGCTTTCCTAATGGAGTCAACTACCATTGAGTTTGTCACGCAGAGGAACTGTAACCTGACGCAGATTGGAGGCCTGATAGATTCCAAAGGTTATGGTGTTGGAACTCCCATGGGTAGGTTGCATGTCAGCTTCTTTGCTATTTGTTATCTATAATTGTGTTGCTGGGAAAAATGGACTGTGTGCCATGAGTTGAGTTCTGGTGTTTTAGATAGCTGTATTTGTGCATAGGATGGCTGGGATTGTATATGGGAAGTGCTGTGAACCATCAAAGTGATATAAGCATATCATTATCATTGTTGCTGTTGTTGTTGTTATGAATTTGAAGGGACCTGATCTACGTTGTTAACGTGGTGTCTGTGGAGTTTGGCCAAATATATGGTTTCACATAAAATATAAGGCCTGGCCTGTGGTTTTCTGGGAAACAGAACTTTATTTCTTAAAAAGGGCTCTAAATGAGCTGTTGTCAGGGCTGTCCGGTGCCTTTTGATCCTAAAGAGAATATGTTGCCACCTCCCGTTCTACCTCCAAAGCAGAATGGAAAGGCAGTTGAACCTGCCTTCAGTGCCGCCAATGAAACGGCATTCTCCACCACACCCAAAGATGGAAAGTTAGCTTAGAAGGTGCAAAGAGGTCCATTTGGCACAGCTCTTTCTTCCAAAACCAGTATCTGTTTCCTTTCTTTCCCTAATGGCTAGACTGGCCCTAACTGCTGCGATAATGTGTGACCAAGCGGTTGCTCAATCACTTCATTATTCCAGCTATGTGCCAGACTTAGTCACCAACTGCACTGGACAGCTGCTCTCTGTGATGTATTATACCTGTAAACCTCCTTCTCCATGCTTGAACAGCTTGCAGAATCATTGAAAGATCTCTTTATCTGAGCCGGCGTTTTGAGGACATGGGGTTTGCTGCTGTTATATTTTATTAGCAAGCATTGTCTTACAGGGCAATCCTATGCATGTCTATGCAGATGTAAGTTACCTTTTGTTTAGTGGTCCTTATTGCTAGGTATGTAGGCCTAAAGGAGAAATTCAGTACACACCTATATGAGAGTAAGAGCCACTGAACTTGATGTACCTTACCTACTCTATGCCATTGCACCAAGAGTCTGATTTTCCTTGATGTCATAAGAAATAACTTAATAAGTAAATAAAAGCAGAAGGTATTTTTTCTGGGCTTGAAGCCTATTTTTTCTTTCAGTTATGCTGAGGTGCACACTCTGATAAGTTGGTTTTCTTTTAGAGTTGGTTGACATGTTTCTTTTGTTCTGTATAAATTTAGATAAATGCTCCTTTTCCTGTCTTCTTAAGATACAGCAGGTGGTTTCGCATTCCTTATTTTCTTGCATTCAGTGCAACAGGCAACAGGGACTAAGAAGGAAGAGATTGGTGTCAGGAGGTGGAGGGGCTCGTTCATCTTCCCATGGCAGCCACCGGAGAGTGGCCAGAGGCGACGGGGCATGGCTGGGAATCTGCTTGAGAGGAATAAGGCATGGGACATGGGCATACAACACAGCTGTGCGGGATTGGTTCTCCCTTGGGGAAGGGAGAATAAAGGCAGGGACAAGACAAACAGGAGGGGGTGGGCAGAAGAAGAGCAAGCGAGCAGAGGAGGGGAGGGGAGGGGAGGGAAGGGCAAGGAGGCGCGCAAAAGCAGCCTTTGGGAGAAAGCTGGGAACAGCTGGCATTGCTACAACATGCAGGCAGCCTGGCAGGAGCAGCAAGGGCAGACCCTGTGCCCAAGACACACAGCTCCCCACTTCCCCGGAGGCGAGGAAGGGCCCAGGCTGTGGGCAGTGCGGCCATGGCAGAAGCTGTAAAGCACAAATAAAAGGACCTTCTGGGTGAGCTTGCTTCCTCACAGATTTTACATGGAGCAAGCCACCTTCAACATGCCCTTCCCTCCTAATTCTGTTACACTTGGGTTGAGGAGTGGTTCCTTATTTCATTCCATATTTGTTTGTAAATATATATTAACTAACTTGATGACTTAAACAAATACACATGTACCTGTGTTCATCTATCTGAAAACTGCTTCATCCATGTATGTACAACAAATTATTCAATATACCTTTGCTTGATTACTGAAAGCACTACTGTGTAGGATGCACAGCTACCTTTAAAAGTATCTATACCCCACATCTGTTCTTCCTTCTCACCCAGTGGGTAGTGAGGAAATATTTGCCCTCACTCCCAGCAGGAAGTAGGATGGCACCACTCCCTTGTATCAGAGGAAGAGACTCTCATATGTCAGCCAAGGACCATCAGTCCTGTGTGGACACCATTCCCCTTTATGTTTACACCACTGGCAATTCCAAAGAGATTAACTTTCCCAGGCCCCAAGAGCAGGTGAGAGTTGCATCCCCAAGTGAGAGTTCCCACAGGGATGCAGTTGAGAACACGCAGCACAATTAATGGGGTCTTGGTCCAATCTTGTGGTTCTCCCAGTTACATATATACAGTTGGTGCATCATGATATGTCACTTTAAACTGGCAAAATGGAAACTCACAGACAGCTGGGACACAGAAGAAAAGGGAGTTTGATACCCAGTAGGTCCTAGGAAAATAAATAAGTGTGCTGTGATGTCATTGTATTGAAAATTTCTCCACCCTTGCAAATGACAGAGGAATGGTGGGAAGTTCTCAACCTGATCATAAGGTTTCTTATGTGAGACATTACTGGTGGAGATGGGGAGTGTTATGCTGTGTCATTACTTTCCCTCCCAGCATCCATATATTCTTTGTACTACCTAGTTCCATTCTTTTATTGGTAGGTGAACAGCTTCCTCTGAAAATGATGATGTTGGAAGCATGTCATGGTCATCAGAAATCAATGGTTTTTGATTTCTGATAGCTATCATTCATTGTCATCATGACTAAAATTCATACTCTGCATGTATTCAATATAAAGATGTACTCATTATTCTTCAGTCAGCATCAGAAAATTACTTAACATTTGTGGTTCCACCCCATTATAAAATTAGACAAATAACAGATTCTGATTTAAAATATTAACTGTTCTTAACCTTGTTGGATCATCTGTCAAATAGGCATGTTAACAAAAATAGTGCACAATGTTGTGCCAAAAAATGTTCTTGCACATGTTGCAAACCATTATTCAAATGTTCTCTCTCAATATGAGAAAAATATTATCTTCCGTTATTTTGCCCATGTTGTTAAAATAGCAGGCATGGAATTGAATACTGTTCTGTAAAAAAACAGAATCATGGCTCCCTGTAGGAAAGCATTTGGAAGATGTTAACAATCATGTCACATTAAAAGATAAATTACTCCCAATTAATAATGACCACTGGTCACAATAATTCATTTTCTTAGAAATGTTTGACTGTAAATGATAGTTTACGCCGGTTTATATCCATGATAGTTACAACAGTGCTCTAAATGTTTACAGAGGTGATAGCTTCTGAATGAACTAACACTTTCTAAATCTGTCTATCAACTATCAATTCCCTAAGTGCATGCTTTTCAGAGTACTTGAATAGTCATTTGTCATCATGCTTTTTCATACATCTGTTGAATGGGCATCCAGTGGGTAAGTGGCAGACTGCTGAATAAATAAGGCTTTATGGGTTGAATTTGGAGTTAAATTCTACCAGAAGGAAAGTCCTCAAGTCACTCAAAACTGGTAGAGCCAAGGAATGCTTTTGGCTGATTCCTTTGTCTTTCTAAATTCCCTTGCATTAATTTCCTCACCATTCTGGAGAGTTCCCAAAAGCTCAGGAGAAAGCAGAGATTTCAGGAAGGTGTGAAGAATCAGTGAAAATGGACACCTCCCCCAGTTAGCAGTGGAGAACCTTCTTCCTGAAAGAAGGAGCTCTTCCATCCTAGATCCCACCCAAGAAGAGGCCACATGCTTCCCATGGCTCACATGCAGCCCTTCAGGCTGTTTCTGGAGCCTCTGCCAACACCACATTTTTTTGTGTCAGTGGTAAGAAGTGGCTTTTTTTTCTTTAAAACAAGTTGTATGGGAAGCACACACCATGCCGGGGAACAGAACTGAACTTCCAAACATCTCTGGCAGCAGAATTGGAGGCATATTGAAATTTCAGCTTGCAGGTTTGGGTGGGGGAAACTGGCTGCAGAAGGTGCCTACTCTGACCCAACCCATTCTACTTGTGGAATAAAATGATGTATAGCCACATCCATGGCAGGTTGTTTTGCTTTTGTTTTTATTTTATCTTATTTTATTTTTACTTGTTTCTCTGATATTTTGGAACCACTTGTGGAGATCCTACCCATGTTTACGGTGGTCAGCTATGATCTGCAATGGCCTTCTGCTTTTGGAGTTTGTTCCTCCCTCTCTCTTTCTCAGCCTCCTCTTCCCTCCATCTGTATTTTGTCCTGTTTTGAACGAAAATATCACATCCCTTATGAAGCAATACTTTCCAAACTTTCTTTCATGAAATTACTTTGAACTTGGAGAACTTTTCTGGATTTAGTTCGTAATAAAAACTAATAAAAAAGAACACAGATGCATGCATGTACACATGCATATACACACATATACCCCCTATCATTAGGTATATTTAAACTAAACAAGTTGCACGAAAACAAGCTCTGCTGAAAACAGTAGAAAGAACGTCTAGAAAAGGCTTGTTTAGGTGTGAAAATATTGTAACTCTCTCCATTTGATGATAGAGCAACTCCCCCCGCACACACACACACACACGCTGTATTTTGGCAATCCAGTTGTTCTGTTTAAAAACATCAACAAATAAATAGTATTATAATCATTTCTTTTAGAAAAAATAAATGTAATATACAGTTAAATAAATCTAACTCTGTTTATAGCATGCAACATAAAATTCCAACAAATATATAGTTATTTACAGTTATGTATTTGGCTGGTCTGCAATTGATTTAAGGGGTTGTTTACAATACAGTTCCAAAAAGTGAAGAAAATCAAACAGCATCATAGCCCTAAAAAGCTTTCCATTGGCAATGGAAAAAGTTTCTGGAAATAAATTTTAAATTTTATTCAACTTGTCTGGTAAGACATTTGGGTGGTCACTAGGCAGGCCTCCTGAGCTGAGCATTTCAGAGATGAGGTACCAGTACCAAAAAGTACATCTTCCCAACAGTGCCTGCCCTC